TATCTTTGAACCGATTTCAAAATTTGAAATTTCATCTTGAATGATTTTCGATAAAGTTTTTTTCTGCTACATCAAAAAATACAGGGTGCTCGGAACAAACGATCTACAGGGTACTATTTGATTTTTTTAAATGGAACACCCTATTTTTCATTGTATTTTTAGATTCTCCCTGAAGAGCTGATTTGATCAATGCATCACACTTGGGGTCTAGCGGGAATGATTACAGAGATATAGGGTGTTCAAAATCGAGATTTTCCAACTTTAGGATTTTTTTGTGACGAAACTATTCATTATCGGTCAAAACGGCTCTCATGTCCGTATCTCAACTTTTGATTTACTATCTACTGACATTTAATAATTGGAACAGATACAGAGTGATCAGGATTCTGAATCTTGAACCACCTTGTCAATGTTCCAATTATGTCAGTATTAGATAGTGAATTAAAAGTTGAGATGGGGGCATAGAAGCCGTTTTGACCAATAATGAATAGTTTCGACACAAAAAAATCCTAAAAATGAAAAATCTCGATTTTGAACACCCTATATCTCTGTAATCATTCCCGCTAGACCCCAAGTGTGATGTATTGATGAAATCAGCTCTTCAGGAAGAATCTGAAAATTCAATGAAATACAGGGTGTTCAATTCGAAAAAATCAAGTAGAACTCTGTAGATCGTTTGTTCCGAGCACCCCACCACGGGAAAAAAAATCTGAAAAATCATTTCAGATTATTTCTCAAATTTTCAAATCGGTTCAAAAATAAGTGAGCTAGAGGGGGGGGGGACATTTAAGAAGTATCAAATAAACCATCATCCACAGCTCCCAAATTCCGTTTCACTGCCTCCGATAATTAGTAGGTTCAAGGGGCGAGCCACCTTCGAAAATCACTCGGTATATGGAAGAAGGTTCCTAGGAATTACATTCACCTTTGATTCTTCGGAAAATTCGAAAAATTCTCTGAAATTATCTCTCATTATACCTATCCAAACTGATTCATTAGGAGCATATAGAAATTCCTCAAGTGAGAATGTAACCAAGTGTCTACATATAATAATATCAGAGTTTTCATATTTTGGAATCAATCCATGAAATATCTTAATCGAGACCTTAATGAAACATTTAATTGGATCCACGTGGAATGATGATATATGTGGCAAAAAATATTCATTTCTATTTGTGTGATCAATTTAAGTTGTTTCAAATGGTAACTCATTTTTTTTGTCCTTTTTTGTTGAACGGAAACATAAATTATATCTAGTTGTCTATTTTTGGTAACCGTACCGTCAATATATATGCATACCTATGAATATCGGAATAATTTTATCACGATTATACAGGGTATGTCACAACGAGCTTACACCATCTATATCGAGAAACATTCGGGAAAACTCCATGAAACTATGCATGCTAATATTTTAGGATAAGCTCTCTTCATTTGAAATATTTTCAGCAATGCAGTGTTGCCGCTTCGATCAAAAAGTAGCAATAACTTTGTTATTTCAATCAGGATACCCTGTATTTTATTAAATTTTTTGATTCTCCCTGTGAACCTGTGAAGATGATTTCATTGATACATCACACTTGGGGTCTATCGAAAATGATTACAGAGATATAGGATGTTCAAGATTTTTCAACTTCAGGATTTTTTTGTCGACTCCAAGTGTGATATATCGATGAAATCAGCTCTTCAGGGACAATCTAAAGATGCGATGAAATTAAGTGTGCTTATTTTGAAATATCAATGTTGCTAAAATAACAAAAAAAAATGATTACCATTATACTCTGATTCTTCAATTCCTTTTTAATTGCATTATCTGTTTCGTAATACCAAAATTCACTCGATTTCGAAATAATGTTCACATAAACTGATTAAAAGAAGTGAGGATATTGTGTCGTTTGCGTTAAAAATAAAATAAAATATTTCATAATCTGAATCTTCGACATAAAGCTTCGTTAACACTACCTATCCATAAAACTGTGCAGTTCAGATCTTCTTTCTCTTTTCAAATCTCCCAAACTCTCAATAAAATTCCATTCGAATTCAATAGCTGTAGCCTCCCAAAATTCAAGAAACAAATGAAGAAGTATTTGTTTGAAAACCCCAACTTCAATTTGAAAAAATAGAACTTGTATAAAGGTTTGTGTGGATATTATGTATACATAGAACAATATCATAACCGAGATCATAACTATTTAGGAAATGTACATATCAATGGATGAACTCCTTATTACGGTTGAGTGGAAGAGCAATTTGCGATCTAATAGTGAAATTGAACTCTGCCGTTTGAGAAACATATATGTATAATAATACTTCTTGTACATTTATGCTGATTCAATAAAATCATTTATTATAATTATTATTAAAAAATGTTCATCAGTTCATATCAGGTATTCCCTAAATAGGCCAACTACAAATCGCTGAACTACACGAGACATGTTAGCATTGAGATGTATACAGCTGATGAGCAACATGAGAGATTGAAAAACTCTTTGCTGATCAACATGTATTTGAAATCTTTGAAGATTCGGATTCACCAATTCGTTCATTATAATTTTTGAAAAAATCTTGTACCAGGAGAATCAATCAACTATTGGCTTTTATCTGTAAATCATCTTGAATCAATTTTGATTTTCTGCATGTAGCTCAACTCGACAGCTGAACTTTCGATTTCCGGCAATGAAAATCAAAATTCATTGTATCAATTTTGATATGTTCATAGTATCATCAAAGAATCATAAAATAATGAGTCAAATATAAGGACTGGTGGGTACCTACCTATGAAGAAGGTTGCATTATAGAAGGAATGGATCGAGAAATCAGATATTTTCGATTATCTTTGGAGGAATTCGTTGGCTCGTCTTGCTTCAAGACAAGTTCGAGCCAGTGCAACGATAAACTGTATCAAACACTTGCCAATCTTCTGTGCATATATTTTTGGAATTGGAATGTTGTCAAACTGTTAAATAAGATCGACTATGAGTATTCATATATTTAACTGAAGAAAACAAGATATAATCAAAACATCTTCTTCTGTGATTTCCAAAGGAGTTAAGGAATGAAGTACAGTTCAGATATAAAAATCGAATCACATTAGGCAACTCTCAGATTATTTCGGCAATAAGTTCACACACCCTTCGAAAGTACAAATGTGGCCTTTCTGTACGTATACTTGTATCGATAGTCGAAATCCACAATCCAAATACTAAGTATTCGGAAAAGTGACATGCTTCCGAACTGTATAAGAGCTTGGTACTTTCGGAGTATAAAGCACTTCGAGGAGGAGGTTTACGGACTGGTCATCGTTTATTCTTCTGGCAATTTCATTCATTTGTTACCAGGGACATCTCCTAATGATCTGATTTTTTTTAAGGATCAGCGAACTGTGCAATTTTGTTCCAGCTAGAGTATCCATTTTCGTATTTTTCTCAAGATTTACAAAATCCTAATGATGGAGAACAAGTTTGTTCCATTCTAGATACTCTCGTTCTTTATTTGAACATTATTTAATGCTGCAAGACAATATAATTCCGGTGATCAGTGAAAAAATCTATTAATTTCGGACATTGATTGAATTCGGACACAAAAAAACAAATTCACTCAGTTCATTATTGATGAGTGGTGAAAATACCAAAATGATTTGGATTTCTTACTCTTTCATTCATTAAACATAATTTTATGAATGGTTTCAAGATAGAGTACTCAATATTATATCCTGACATTTTTTAAATTCCACATTAATATCATAATGTTTTCCAATGGACAGAAATTATTCAGATATTGTAAAGTTCTAGAAAACGAGTGGAAAACGTTATCTTTTTCACTTCAAGTAAATGACATCACTTGTTTGTCAATAATCGTATTGTCATGTATCTAAAATTTTGTTTTTCAAGCTTTTCCTCAGATTCTGCCGATTTGGGTCAAATCAATCTAATTCATCTGATAACTTCTTCGAATTTGGAATGAAGCTGGAACAGTTCACTCATTTGGCTTCAATGGATTTGAGCAACATTTCGAATGATATAAGCGAATTACTCTCACGCCAAAAATAACTACTAGTCGGACCAATCGCGCTGAAGCACTTTGCATTTTTGTTCTCATCACAATTTAGATGACGCAAGTAGAAGTAGGGAGATGAATCTTGTTTCGGGTAAAACAAAAGGCGAAGTTTCTGTAGAAGTCTCGAAATGTGTTCAATGTGTTCATTTTAGGAGGTGGCATGCTTGATTTATATATTTTTCTCACCAATAATTCGAAACTTGAATACCTATCCAATGAGCTTTACAGTTCATTTTGAGATTGAACGTCCAGGACTGAGGTATAAAATCTCAAAATTGATAAGGAATGGAATGCCTATGGCGATGTACAACTTCAAACATGGCGCAGTATCACTAGCATAGCAACATTAAATCTTTGGTATTAAACATTTTCTACAAGAAACTTATTGGAGAGAGAGGGATATACAAATGTATAAGTTCATGTATCAATTTCATCACACAAAGTATAGCCTGGTCAATTCGTTGAAGACATAAAGATCTTTCGAATTCAGGAACAATCACTTTAGAGAAAAGTGTGTTTCCTCCACTGCAATAACTGATTACTTAGTCGAATCATTCTATTCTATGGATTTTGTGGTTCAACAGGAAATGAGTTCATTCTCGATTCTTGATTCTTATAATAATGATAATGATATATTGTGACTCTAGCTGTTTGGCTAACAAAATGATGAGCAGTTGATGAGGTGCATTTCAATTGAAAGCAATCCGTCTTTACCAAATAAAATGGCAACTCTCTTATCAGGTTCTTTCATGGCCACCCTTTTCTCATTAGTTATACATGACTACATTTCCAAATGCTTTTGGTATGAATGGTTTTCTTCATGAGTTTCTTCTTCTTGATAAAATGAAAAGGGGTATAAGCAATAAGCGTTAAGGATTTCTATTGCATGAGATACAAAATGGAATGGGCTTTGGTGAGTTTAGCTGCGAAAAATTCATCCTAACCTGAATAGTGACCGGTGACTTGTCGAGTGACATGCTGCTCTGTCCTTGTCAACCTCTGAGTCTGACTCTGCTGAGTCTGCGACGTTTGACTCTGACTCTGCTGAGTCTGAGACATTTGTTGCTGCTGTCGGTTCATCTCGTCACCACAGAAAAATCACAAAAAAGTCGAGAAAGAAAAAAAAGCGGAACACAAAAGCACAAAATCACAACACGTTTCAGATAGTGTCTACTTATCAAAAACAAGAAAAAAAAAGATATCTAGTCTCTGTAATATTTTCGTTTGCCTTTCACGGCTTCAGTTAGCAGAAGTTCAAGTCATCATCCCCGAATTATCTACCAAGACGTCGATCGTTTGCGAATTGCGAGCGAAGAATGGACGGTTCGGGATCGCGTCCTCTCCCGCTGCGGACGTCCACAGGCTCGGTTGTGGACGGAGGGACGCGAACGCGGACGATTCGGGTACTATTTCTGGATGCGCCGTCAGGTGATATGCGATCCGACGCCTGCTTATTCTGACTCAGTAACCCTACTTACGAATATTTTACACCTCTACTCATTTCTGGAACAAATGCTATTTTCGAAAAGTCCGACTGACGCAGCATTGTTGAGATTCCTGTAACTGTGTCATCCAGGTGAAACGGAAATATTTTCGAAAAAATTACTCAGCAGTAAATTGGAGATTTCTGAGTTTGAAAAAGCTACCACCAAAGGCTGGCTGCAAGCAAGCTGTGCCTATTTCTACGATCTCTTTTTTATCTCTTGGAGCGCACAAAAGAAAATATCTTTAAAACCCATTAACTCCCACTGGTGGAAACGTCCAAAGATAAGTGAAAATTTGATATTTTTTCTATATACCTTCATTTCTCTTCTGAAATTTTTTTTCAATACAAATTGTCACTGACAAGCTAGTGAATTTTTCTTTTAGGCTCTCTGATAGGGAAATTCTTTAAACGCAGTGACATTTTGGGGCAAATCATCTGATTTGTCCTCACTACACGTATATTGAAATAATATTCATATTTTTATTTTATAGAAACGAGGAGAGAAGATCCCAAAAAAATAGGAATAATGAATTCAAACTTTTTGTTTCAATCGGATCTAGATTAGTCATATCTATTTCATTTTTGGATAATAATGTGTGATAGCTCATAGCTTTTGGGCTATCCGAAAATGAGAAAAATTTTAATGAAAAATACAGATTTTTATTAAAAAACAAAAAAAATTGATGAGGAAAGACGATACGTAGGATTTGCAATTTTAAAGTGCCAACTCGTAGGGGAGAAGAAGTGGCAATGATGAAGTGTAATTTATTTTGATCAATTTCTTCGTATATAGGGTTCTAAAAAATTTCGTTTTCGGATATCTCTGAAAGTATTAACCATTTTCCAAGTTTCAAAACAGCATTCTGTTTGTTACAACATTGCGCAACTTTACCATGATGTAATCGACCCTGTATCTCTTACGGTTTACGGGATTCCTATGCTGCCACAGCTGCTGCAACAGACGTGGGTAAAAGCAGACTCATGTCTGAGGCAAATAAATATACAGGGTGTATCTAAATAACACCGAAAAACTTCAAGGGCTGATTCCTTGTGATATTTTAGGAGATAAAGCTCATAATTCAATACTCAATTATTGTCTTTTCATCAATTTCAATAGAACGTTGTGGTTTTGTTAATAGTAATATGGAGCTCTTTTTGGTGCAATTTGATTCGAAATAATATCTCCAGTGGCGTCACAGTGGGTGAATTCATCGATATTTATGGTGAATGTCATTGTACATACGCCACCGGTTTTTGTGAGTTTCATAATGGACTTATATCACAAAAAATTTTTATTTCATAATTCGATAGAACTCACCCAAACTAGCTCACTACCTTGAACCGTTTCTTGCTGTGAGGTCCCTACGTTTTATAAAAAATTATTGAAATCCCCGATTTTTCGGACCTCTGAAAACGAGGCGATGATGTGACGTCAAAACCCTAATACTGAAACAAGACTATTCCAGACAGAGATGAATGATACATGATTTCTGACAGAGTGAATTAGCGCGATATCACAATTAAAAGAATTAATCTATCAGTTGCCTCAGTCTCCGTCGGGCGTTTGGTATTTTCTTTTAACTATGGCGAGATGAGGTTTCTACGTCATAAGAGGGTCCGTTTTCAGAAGGTACTATCATTTATGTCCAAAAATAAAACATTCCAGTTAATTTTTCGATCGAATTATGTCGTCAATCATTATTTATGTATAAAATGTATAATATTTATGTATATCATTATTTACATGATCTGAGTTGGAAGTTCTACTAAGGTGTACACGCCCATTTCATAAGATTGAACTATTGAAATAATTACTTGTTCATCCTTTGTGTCATTTCTGTATCTAGCTTAGTTTCTGAGAACATAATAAAAATTCCAATTGACTCCAAATTTTAATGAAGGTGTTTTCAAGACTTCCATTGTGATTACTCAACTAAAATCATTTTGAAATGTTTGGGCATAGTCAGTCTCCAACCATACTGAATTTTGGCACCATGAAAGCTAATACAGAGTGGTTATGAATAAAAACAATTTATCCTTCCAAATTCAACATCCTGTATCTCAAAAAACGGAGCAAGTTAGGACACATGTTTATATGCACTTTATTTGCTAGTATATCACAAGGAATCACCCCTTGATTTTTGTAGTGTTATCTAGATACACCCTGTATAATGCTCAGAACTGAAACTACTAGTACTAGTATTTCATCGACCTTCCAAGTCTAGCTATTTCCGAAGCAGAATATCACTTTAAAATACTACTTAATTCACTATTTCGAATTTATGAGGATTCTGATCTCTGATCTTCCTTGGAAGATGAAACGGTTAGTTACAGAACCAACACACACACACTTTCACACACACTGAATTGATTTGATTCTACCCTTTGAGAAGGATGATGAAAAAATGCAAACAAGCTGCATTTATGATTTCAGGTAATGATGCAATAAACCAAAGTAGAACGAATTATACGATAGAAAATAAAACATTTGATATCTATTGAACTTTCTATAAGGTAAATATTGTTTTGAGGTTCTAATTCAAGAATATCATCAATGCGAGCAGTTTATTAAAAAACATTGAGTGGAAATGATATCGATTCAAGTTGAATTGATCATTTCTGTTGAATTGAAATGATAATTGGTTTCCTCAATACTCGATATTCAACTCATTATTGTTCTATCTATTGTTGCCCATGTGGACAAATGAGTTTTCAATTGGAATATGAGAAATACTAATAAACTGGGCGTCAATTGAAACGTTAATAGTGAAATTTGGCATCAAGTTTGACTTCTCGTTATTTCTAAAATATTGAACGAATTTTGAATTGCCGCCCAGATTCTGAATGCCTTTTTCATCGTCTTTCGAACCGTTCCTTACAGTTTCTTTTAAATTGATCAGGACCCGTGATACAGGGTGAAACAAAGTTTCGTGCATTTTGAAAAAATACCTCCGCCCCCCATTTTGTCGGAAGATCACGATGCTCATACAGTGTGACCCATTTAAGATGGAAGCACCCTTATAAAACTTACATTTTTCAACCGATTGGAATGATTTTTTTGTTGTTAGGTAGATATTCAGAAAGTCTAATCTGATTTTTCAAGGTCGAAAATCTAAAAAAATTACTAGCGATTTTTTTAGAAAAAATCTGACTACACCACTGGATTTGTGACATTTCTTTGCGTCAATCAATAAAAAAGTTATAAAGGAATGAAATTTGAAAAATATGCCGTTTAATCAACCCACCAATTCATGTTCAGGAATTTTATGAAAATTCTGTATACTCCACTGGATTCAGGATGTCTTGAAATATTACTGATCACAGTTTCATCGAAATCTGTTCAGTAATAAAAATTGATGGGTTGACTAAACGGCATATTTTTCCATTCCTCTATAATTTTTTTATTGATTGACGCATTTCAACGTAATTTACATGTTACCCATTTGAAAATGTCACAAATCCAGTGGTGTAGTCAGATTTTTTCTAAAAAAATCGCTAGTAATTTTTTTAGATTTTTGACCTTGAAAAATCAGATTAGTTGGCCCTGGAAATGGAGATTTATTCATGATATTTGGTGTCCTAATAGACTTTTTGAATATCTACCTAACGAAAAAAATCATTCCAATCGGTTGAAAAATGTTTTATAAGGGTGCTTCCATCTTAAATGGGTCACACTGTATATTATTCGGGCATTTCATAAATAGCAACCATACCTCGGGACGTTTTCGAGTTTTTGCCAAAAATATTTGTGGTTTCCGAAAAAAAAAAGTTCATTGCATTTTTTTTAAATGGACTAATTTTAGAGGAGTTCCATAAATGGATGCTTTCATGCATTTCAGGAAAGGGTTGGAGCATCAATAATTAATTACTTCGCAGTCTATGATGAAAGTTTTCTACCTTAGTGAGCAGTAAATCAACACATCTCATCAACAAAAACAAACAACGATACCTTGTTTCTATAACAACGTATTGTTGAAACAATGTAGGTATGCATAGAGGTTATATCAATTGCCAATTTTCATGAAAACGTCAGTGTAATTCGAGTCCTTAAAAATTTAAAGATGCCTCGTTCAAATCGGGTCAAAATGGAAAATATCATTAGGTAAGATCACTATAGTGATTTAAACGATAATTCAGTACAGATAATTATTATTTCAGGTTACGACGATTAGGATATACCCAAATTCATTTGAGTACCATTTTCAATAAATCAGTCATGATAATAAATAGACTAATTCATCGTTTTGAGGATACAGGTGATTGAAAAAAATGCAAAAAAAAATTTTTTTTCGGAAACACAGTAGTTTTTGGCAAAAACTCGAAAACGTCCCGAGGTATGGTTGCTATTTATGAAATGCCTGAATAAAATATGAGCATCGTGGTCTTCCGACAAAATGGGGGGGCGGAGAATTTTTTTTCAAAATGCACGACACTTTGTTTCACCCTGTATCATGGGTCCTGATCAATTTAGAAGAAGCTGTAAGGAACGATTCGAAAGACGATGAAAAAGGCATTCAGAATCTTGGTGGCAATTCAAAATTCGTTCAATATTTTAGAAATTACGAGAAGTCAAATTTGATGCCAAATTTTACTATTAACGTTTCAATTGACGCCCAGTTTAGTTATAAAAGGCCAAATATATGAATCTCATGCTATTAATATATCATATTATGTTCATCGCCTGAACTTCTGTTGATTCATTCTTCTGTTGTTCGTTGAATATTCGCTTGATATCTCCTGATTTGAACATCTACACCCAATATTCATCATCATTCATATCATATATTATAAATAGAAAAATAATCACAGAATGATGATTGTTTGGATAGGTA